TGGGATTTTCGCCAGGAAGAAGATGATTTCCATCGAGGCGGACACCGCATAAATACGATGAGAGGATACCACCGCGCTTCCCGCTTCCCCAATAGCCACCAAGAATGAGAAGGTCAAGTGATTCGCCAAATTCTGTCATGTAGTCTGGTTTTACCTTCATCCAATCATCGTTTCGGTCGTTGAGGCGGTATATGCTTCGCGGATTCTAGATGATTAATACATTTAGTCCAGGAGGGTTTCACTCTCAAACACTATTGGGTGAACATATGGGGGCCTATACTCTACTCGTGCGAGTAAACCTACCTTAATAACTAGGCCTTCACTTGCTTCGGCGATTACTTGCCGCAACATTTTTTCAATTTCTCTCCCCTCTTGTGCTTCCACATACTGATGAACCTCCATTCTTCTGTGTACGCTCTTGATACTTCTCTCCAGGGCCTTACGCCTGTCCCTCAGTGTATAATTAATCAATGATTGTCCGTTCAGGTAAAGTATATCAAAAACCCGAACTGCCATAGGAGCATATCAGCACTTGTAGGATATAAATAATGACTGAAGAAAATCCTTACATAAGGGCCTAGGTCCATCCCCATATGGGTTTCTATTCCCCTCCAATGCAGCCGTTTTTAGTGTCCCAAAAGCAACGATAACATCCATTCTGGGGTCCCATGTAATCATTTCCCCGTCTAAAATGATACTGCGTCATGACAAGTTAGAAACCATCAGTATAGATATAATGGGGGTTATAAAACCTTTTAACTCCTTTGTCAAATGCCCCCCCCAGGTGTCTTGTCAAACTTCCATCATCCCAACCTGATCCATAAAGCCTTGTGTATTCCTTCCCCCTCCTGCTCCAAAACATAAATTTTCCATTCTGATAATGCATTTGCATTCGCTCACCATCGAGCTTTTCTTCTATCCAGAATGTTGGATCTTCAGCTGTTGGGTGCATAGCTTTAACAACCTCGGCCATGGAACGCTTCTGAAACTGTGCAAGTTGAGGTTGGAAACAGGACATAAGGGTCACAGATTTGTCCTACAATACCATTACTATAGAACGAGGGAAACCAAAGGGATATCGAGTTACATCGGAATCCATGCGGAAATCAGGATTATACAACTCCCAGCAGACACGCTTGAGAGATGATGAAACATTGAATAGGGCATCCGCATCGGGATGCCACGCACTACGAAGTATTAGCAATAAGTTTTGTTTCCAACAATTGATCAAAGAGGTGGGTACTCGAAGAAGGTTTTTTCCGTAGCACCAACTTTCATCTCTTTAGTTATAGGTAATGGTTGTCAGTACGGATGATCGAATTATCCTCAGAAAGGGCCTAGCATGCTATCGGTAACTTACGCCTCATGATAATTCTAATGATCCACATCAGTTCATCGGCATCCATGTTGTTATAGAAATCGACCATAATCGGCAATTGATCCTCTCTACAAGAACATATGGTGACGGGTTAATTGTCTGTATAAATTGTCATGAGAATTATGGTAGATGAACGCTCACTCTTTAGTAGCTTGGGAAAGATTGTCAAGCATTGCGTTCACTTGATCAATCGTCAAGTTGCCTGGGGTGGTTCTCATTGGGCGTTTTTTAATCACCTCTAAGGTTCAGGGGCAGACATTAGTGTTGAAATTTCGATTGGATATCTCCTCAGATTATGTAAATAATGCGTAGGAATTGACAGCTCCCACAGTCCCAGAGATCAAAGTGGGCAGTAGTTGAATAATAAATTGGAGGAATGTATTTCGGAGCGGATTCGAAAATCAAAAACTCAAGAAGATGATATAATAGAATTCTCACTATTAATTCTTACAGTGGAACGTACCATGGCAGCGTAGAGCAAAGTCACCAGCACTCTTCGAGGCGCCTGGTTGCCTCCAATTTAAGAGAGCATAGCCGTCATCGCTGTCTTTATTAATTTTCATCACCTTGACCCACAGATGGCCAATTGTCTTTTCTTTAAGATGGTATCTGAACTCAGAAGGAGAAATGTGAGTCTGAGACCATTTCTACTTTGATAGGGAAAACATACACACTGCGATCTCTGTCTTTATCGCATAAAATCAACCTAAATGCGGGATAGATATCATTTCCAACTTCAGTCCTCCAGCGAGATATAAACCGGTCAATAATATTCCGTCTGATTTCATGGGGCTTTAATTTTGATACTCTTTGATTGGGGCCTGTTCTTTTCTTCTTGTTCGCAAGAAGTGGATCAAAGAGATATGTGTGTAACTCGTGAAAAGGAAGAGTATGTTTTTTGTTCCTTGGCCTAAGGGGATAATCGCGGTTAAGTTCCGCCTCGGTAAGGATTTTGTTAGGGCCGAAGGCTTCTACGCTGATGCCTTCTACGATATCGCGAGCCACGGGTGGGGCATCTGGAAGGGTACCGAGATCAGACATAATACAAACAGCTTGAAATATTCGTTGGTAATGTGAATCCTATGTTTCGTTATATTCTTCGAGGGGAGGCGTCAAGCAAGATGGAGGGAGCAGCAAGAAAGTCCTTAAGGGAAACGTCGAGTCATACATGTAGTTATCGAAGCCATGATACGGGCTCGGCTAAAGTGGACAAACGCGTAACCACGTGAGCAATAAATGCAGGGACGCGTAAGGGTTAAGTAGGCACGTCCACCTCAAGACCCCCGGTAATAGCAATTTATGAGTCCTTTTGGTCCACCCAGTTGATAAGTAGATACATAACCTGTTTCATACACTCCTCAACTAATAACTCTTCAGTTTTCACAGTGATCCCTTGGACTGGTGAGACATACAGATTCCCTGACTCCCCACGGGGAACTATGTATATGCGGTGGCTAAGTGACTTTGCCTCTGTAAAAATGATCATTTCCTCAATGGCGAAGTCACTCTGCCACACCCTAATCAGGAAGTCAGGGAATCTGCATGTCTTACCAGTCCAAGGGATAGAGGGTGACAGCTGGAACTGGTTCCAAACTTTTTGCCATATAAATTGCGCCCCACTATTCCTAAAACTACCCAGCAGCCCATTTTTTAGGTGTTGAAACGAGAGAATCTTTCCAGTTGTCACCCGTAGTAGACTTTTGAGTTCCGGTAACGGCCATTAATTTTGGGAAATGCCATTTGCCACCCAGAAAAGCGGTAACTACCCGCAACTGTAGTCATGTAGTTTCGAGCCAACTTTGTATGTGGATTGACATGCAGCCTGTAGTTAGTTTACGATTATACCTTGCATGTTTGGCCTACTCTAGTTAGGGTTAGGGACCTTTGGCGCCGCCGCAGGGCTAGGGATCTTAAACCACCCTTCTACTATGTACGTAAGTACAATATCAGAAATGGGGGTAAAACTGATACCGCATCAGTACGGCATTGTGAGAATATGCCGCTTTATCTTCGTATTTTGACGAAGTAAACGGTAGTGTTACCGCAGTGGTACGGCATTGCCAAAGACTGCGGTAGTCATTTTATCCATGTTTCTGTATATGTACATAGTTACTTATGAGAAGTATACCGTAGCGCTCTTTTGGTCTAAGTAATATTTCTGTTAATACGTACATGGTACATTGGACTTCATTATACTACTTCGCAAAATAAAGTTTTGAAACCGCATTCTCAAGTTTGAGCATTGGTATGGTACTGGGTAATCTATTTCAGTTGCTTGTCTTAACTCTATTCTCCATTAGGTATTACGTTATGATACCAAAATCTCATCCAAATGCTTCAAACTACATGTAATTACAGGACCCGACATATTATTTGAAGCTGTATATATTTAAAAAGAAAAAAAAATGGTTCTGGAGATTTGAGCTACTTGTATATATGTGATAGAGTTGGGGTTTGATTATGTAGGGCCTGGTACACGTCTATATGTACATGTGCATGTATTTACATCTTTGTGCTTGTTGAAGCCTAAACCTTACTAGAGGGGTAACGAGCGTAACTACATGTATCACGATCACAGCTTAATAGTAACAGCGATCTAGAGGTCAGAGGATAGCCCCTAATAGTTGCCCTGTGTGGGCATTTGTGATGATGGAGAGAGCACTACATGTATATAGTGAAGTCTTGATCCAGTATTGATACAGGTTTCTGAAAATGTATCATTTACACAACTCGTCGTAATCCCTTATTGAAGAAGTCTCTTGTTTAATGGGTATTGCAGACGATAAATTTCTTGAACCTACATACCTATTTTTATACTCTGCATTCTGCTAAAGGGAAATATACTTAAGACTACAGTGTACGGTATATGCGGTAACATACCAAACTCTCCCCCTTTCCCCTATCCTACGTGCCCAGACTTTTGTTGAATATATGCTGAGTGGAAGGCAGGTTTATGCGGTAGGTATTTTGTTCTTGCGACTGTGCTCTCAATTCTACTCTACATAGCATAAAGTACTTGTATTCGATAAGTCAGGCACATCATACATGTAGACATGTACGTATATACCTACAAGTACATATATGCCATTATATAATTATCCCCCTGTCGTGGCCGTGCCAAACAACCAATCTGGCAGTTATCAACCTCTGCCTCAACCAACTTTACGACCACTATCTGCGTGCTGTTGATTATCATAGCTGTGCGTACTCGACGTAATTTGCTGTGACCACGATTTACCCCTGCATGCTTCTCTTAAATTTGGTTTTCAATACTTCACTACACTCGGTGAGAAGCCTAAATTCCACGATTTTTGTCGACAGCGTATTCATTCTGATTCTATATCATAGTGCTTGAGCCATGAATCTGAACCCTCCGACTTCTCAAACCCAACATTCTTCAAATTCTAACCCGAGTGCTGTTGCGTTAAGAGCCGCAACCCTAAGTTTTGATAAAAGCGTAACAACCATTACATCTCCGACAGAGGATTCGAGCAATCGCAGCGCTACAAAAAAGGGATGTGTGATCAATAAGATTTCCACGGCAAGCTCACCAATCGGAAAAGTGGATACCGGTGATAAGGGACGTCTACCAGCTATTCAACAGAGAAAATTGAAAGACAAAATGCAGGAGCACCAATACGGACCCCCCGTCTCAAAAACCCCCTTACTCCAGAAGTCTTCGTCAATGGTTGTTGGGGATGCCGCCGCCGCAGAATTTAGAACTCGAATAGCTAAGGGCGGCACAACAGTCGGCAAAGGTGACGACAAGCCCGCAACCGGCACTGTGAACACATGCAGTCGTTTACTTCGGGATGGTGTTTCTCTAGAGGAATACTCGCCGGCGCTATCAGTAGATGTCTCGCCGAAACACAGCAGACTACCAGATATAAGCTCTCAAGGCGTTGATTCAACTTCGCTAGAGGATATATCTTCTCTTAAAAATTTATTTGAAAAAGGTGCTACGATATGTGCACCAAAGCCTATCCGGCCGGTTTCGGAAAACCCATCATTGACAGCTGCGATTATAGCCACTCAGCTTTCATCTTCTAACTCCACACACAGCTCAAGCAGAGGCAGTCCCATCCTCAAGCAAAGTTCAAAACCTGCCCAGGGAATTTCAACTCCTTTAAACTTTGACAACCGTCCAAGCTCTCATATCACGGCACATGAACCCTCGCCTTTTCTACTTGACTCGAAGCAATCTGAGATGCACGAGACATCTGGATTATCAGACCACAAGAATGCGCTTTTAGCAGCTACTTTAGCTGCCAAGGGAAAAATTCCACGAACCCCCCCAAAAAAATCCCAACCCCCAAGGCCGCCTCCCCCGAGAAGAGCACATGATAGTTTGAAGGTACCCAATGGCAAGACTTTAAAAATTGAGGATAACTCCGATGCGTTGTCTATTGATTCGGTGAAAACGGGTTTCTCAAAGTACGACACTGCTCGCTCATCGGTTTCATTGCAACCCTCCCTATCGCACTCAACAATATCTCCCATACCAAAGAGACGCCTTTCACTGGGAAATATCCCCCCCAAATGGCAGGAGGTAAATCCTTCGCCGTGGTGTCCGCCGCAACCCACATTCCCCCCATCCGCGGTAGCTGCCGCCAACCTTTGCCATTATCAAAGCATTTGACCGGGGACTCTGTTATAGCTGCGTCACTCGCTCCGTCCCGCGTGAATTCGCCCGCGCCGAGGAAGCCGCCTGCACCACCTGCACCGCGCCGTGGCCGTCGAAAAAGTCTTCCCTCACCCCCCAAAACAGGGTTTAGGGAAACAATGAGGAAGCCTAGGTCACCTGCTGAAGCTAGCCCCCAAATAAAGATGCCAAATCTTATAAAACATCATCCACATAAACATTCGGAGGGGGAGCGTCGGCGTTGGAGGCATTTTATTACCGATGTAGAGCGAAAACGTTATGAGGGACTGTGGGCTGCAAATAAGGGACTTCTCCTGACCACATGTGATTCGAAATCGAAAGGCCCTTCACCCTATTCATTCAGTTTACAGAAAACAAAATCTCACCAGCCACATAGCTTTCAGTTACAACATGTGTGGTCGTCAACGCCAGACTATACTGAAGACTTGTCGGATTGCGTGCATTCTTTGATAGCGAGGGATATTTGGACTAGATCGAGACTGCCGTTGAATCATTTAGCAGATATCTGGGGCCTTGTCGATCACGGTATGAAGGGTAGACTTAGCAGAGACGAGTTTGTTGTTGGTACGTGGTTGATAGACCAGAGTTTGAAGGGAAGGAAACTGCCTCTCAGCGTCCAGGACGAAGTGTGGCAATCAGTCAGAAGACTGGGCGTCAAAATACCACCACCAGGTTGCAAGAGTACTACATATAGCAAAAGACATTAGGTTGGCGATACAAATACATGTGTATGGAAGTATGGAGGAATGCTAGAGCGCTAATAGCGATTGACTTATACTAGATTCATTAGTAGTAATTAGCGTAAATTTTCAAATTTAATATGAAATTGCGGATTATTGGTACCCCCCGAAAATGGAAATTTCACACACGCGAGCGTCTGCTATGTGAAATATCATTCAGGATACCGTCATCTGATGCCATCAAGGCGCATGTTCGCATCACCCACACCTACACGGCACGGTGGAGGGGAATTCTATGCACGGTTAGAACACACCTGATATTAGAAAGATCGGAGTGTAAGTGTCCCAGTTAATATGAAGCGGTACTACTAGTAGTGGAATAAGAATATTGCTCAGATTATAAGAGAGTAGCCTCCGCACGATTCGGCCTCGTTCAATATTTATTCCTTCACCTCATACCTACAACGCACAGGATTTATATCGACGGCTTTCGCGAGCCAGCCGACATCAAAATTCAAATCAAAGCCATCAATACCAGCTGATGCCACAACGGTGAAGTGATAGACAAGAAGTTAAATACCCAACTAAAAACCACACGTTGACCTTAGAACAAATTATCTAGAAACTAAATCTTCATCCGTCCTATACAGCAAAACTCAAACAATTCTCTGGACCAATGAAATGAGGTATCTTGCAGTCATAGAAACAAAAGAAAAGCAATTGTACATGTAAGTACGCGAAACCCAAACCAGAAGACTATGAACACAAAAGAAACGCCCACAAAAAAAACCCACAAAAATTTATGTAACAATAAAAGAAACTAAAAATGCTAACGCTACATGTAACAACCTATGATGAGGAATGGTTCAACAAACTTACTATCCCAATTCGTACATCTGAATCACGAGATCTGGAAGAGCAGCCTCCTACGAGAATAAAAGAAAGAAAAAAGCAAGAATACGACTCCAAGAACACCCACCCTGTGGTTCGTTCACCCCTAAAAAGAAATAAGAAATATTTAGCACATCGCATCATGTTCACTGTACAGCACACCAATATCGGCGGAGACCTAAATCCGACGGCATCCAGTATCCTAGAACCGGAATTCCAGAATTGGGAGTGTTTCGGAAGCGCCCCGCCCCATCTCTTGCATAGCATTATTCATCGTAACTGCATGTCCAAGCCTCCCAACGTCTGGCATCTCCTAATACCCTATACTTGTATGGTTGACGTGGCGGGAGGGCGATTTTGGCCTTCCCATGCGCAGTATCACTCAGCTTGCCTCGTCGACGCATGTTCATCTCCAAAACAATAACGCGGAGAAAATCACCGTTTTCCCTGACCTCGCGTGGTCGTGCGGCCGGGTTGGATACGCGGGAATTTGCAACGGATGCATCCTTGTGTGTCTCTTTGCTAGGCTTTTGCGATGAAGAGTAGGTTTGCATCTGGATCGCTCCAGTGCAAGGGGAATCGGGGGTAGCATTTGTTGGGTTTAGATAACGGCGAAGCGCTGGTGTTGGGGTATCAAGACTCAGGGCCGGTCGCTTCTCATCTGTGAATTGAGGTGATATAGAAAGGATACTTCGGGTAAGGTAATCGTCTGGCTGGGTAAAGGGTGCAGCGACCGAAATAGATGAAAAACTCCGGGCAGCCGATTTAAGGACGCGAATCGAGGCAGTCAGATTCGACTTGAAATTAAGGCGGCGGGTCACCCGTTTGAGAGCGTCCTCGGAAAAGAAGCCTAACTCTGGTTCAAGCACAGGTTCTGCGGTATCGTCGTCGGAATCGAACATTAGCGGGTGATCGAAGTGACACTCCTCAGAATTCGATGCCAGGATTCGAGCCCGGGGATCACCGGCGGGACGTTTTCGAGAGAGGGGCAACGATTGAAAACTGCTCCACGAAAATGTAGACCGGTCGTCATCTTCAAGAGAAGGCACGGAATCTGATGAATCGGACCGAACTGACAGGTGACTGTCGCTTGGTGACTTTTGAAGCGAACAGGAAGTATCATCGTCATAATCCGGGGGACCAAGGAGCAGAGATAATGAAGATCGAGTTGAATCTCTTGAGGGATCACGAGATAGAGCAACGGATTCTAAACCAAGGAAAACAGACTCTCCAAGGGCATCATCAAATGACAAAGGTATATCGTCGGAAGGCGTTGGAGGCTCAATGAAAACGTTCGGAGAAGGCCGCTGCTGCTGTTGTTGCTGTCGCAGAGCAACTCTCTGTTTCCTTGAGCCTGGGGGAGGAATAGCCGTTACCGCCAGGAGGGCCGCAACTGCCGGTGCTACACCCGTATGTTTGTTGTTTTTGTAGTGATTTCCTCTAGACCTCGAAGAGCCCTTCGTAGGGATAACCATAGGGCTGGAGGAAATCAAAGGTAATGGGGCAGACATCATGCTCGGCGACGACGACGACGATGTTTGATGGGAATACCAGGAATGTATCTTTTCATGTACGACTGCAGTATCGGAAGATGGAAATATATCGTCGTCCGAAGTTGAGGCCGAAAGCGATCGAACAAGACAGTGGGAGTGTGAGTTGTGGTGGTGAAGGTTAGAGGAAGAAAGAAGAGTGATGGCGGTAGTGGTGGTAGTGAAAGTAGCTGAGGATAAGGACGTTGTCCTAGCGGGAGTCAGGAGTAGCTCCATCGGAACGGGTTCGCTGATAGCTAACAATATTTTCTGTGTTATGTATGTATGAGGCTGGCGGCTTGGAGGGGGTCCAGAGCTAAGCGCACAAAGAGTAAGGCAGAGGGTGCGCTGTATGCCTATGTATGTATGTCTAAAACACCGGGAATGGGTTTCTTCCTTCTATTTGATGACGGATAACAGGCCTGACAGTCTGACTGTTTGACTCCCTGTAAATTAAAAACAATGTCTCGCCTGTCTTTCCCTGCCCTATCCTCTTGCTTCTCCGTCTGGAATATGGATGGCTGAATAGATATTGGTATAGATAGGGAATCACTACACCGGCAAGTGGGCAGCACAGTAGATAGATAACGTCTGTGTGCGGATAGAGTACAGTGCACTCTTTCTACTTCATGCAGCAAGCCAAATGTTGGGGCCGCACACACTTGTTTCGAAACTTTCTGCTAACCTGGTAGAGAAGGATGACTCGTGACAAATCGATGTCTCAAGGATTAAAACAGGGTCCAACTCGAGAGCGAGTCACGCGTTTTTTTTTTACAGGATATGTGAACAACAAATTGCTGGGGATGTAGGTAAAGAAGCGAGAAAGATAAGTGGATAGATATTGACGGATGATGAACAAAACAAGCGGGGTGAGAGTGGAAGACGGCGGGGAATCCACGTCCTTATGTAAATCAAACATGTCGTGTGGGAAAAATAAGTAGACAGCGTGAATTATACTGTCATTCCTAGCGGCCGGGCATCACCCGCGAATTGAAGCATGTTGGGGAACCAAGATGAGCATGGAGAAACACCACGGGTATGGTTTGATTGACGGGCAGTAGATGCTCATGGACAGATAAGAAACAGCAAACTGAACCAAGAGCATGACGATTGGGACCGCATAGCTGGCAAGGTACTCAATATCCAGAGTAGAAAGATGGGACGAGCACCACCGCCACCTCAACCCTCTTCTCAGTTAACTACTGCTAATCGCATCCTCCTAGATACATAGAGCGGTGGAAGCCAGCAGTAGCATCATACCTAGAATACCTCACTAGGCGAACCTTACCTCTTGGAACAAATTCAAGTAGCGAGAAAAAGAAACTTCGAATACGGGGTTAAAACTCCCGAGATACAGAAAGATAGGGAGTCGGCGAAGTGGTGCATTTCTCAGACCGCTAGCTGGTCACTCTATCACGAGGTACCTTCTTGGTATCCCCTTTCCCTGTCTCAAAAGAAGTGTAGAGACTGTAGGTATTGTAATACTGCATGTAAGTAGGGCACAAAAGCAAATCGGAACCCCCCAGAAGATAGAGCATGCTACGCTTTCATCCGGCGCCCCGGGAGTGAGCACGGCGGACAATCCAACCTTTGGCTCCAGGGATTCACAGGGTAATCCAAATGGGGTAATTTGAATACATCATTCGAACTCACTCGCCATGAGAAAAGCTACCCAAGGGATGGGTCTCGATACCTACATATGTAGTCTCATAGATCATCCTGTATTTCAGAGGGACAGTTACAGCACTACACATCATACTGCAGGGTGGGGGAACACAAAAGGAAACGGTGGATCTACAGTCTGTCAACAGCCTATCAGGACCCGCACATTTCTGCACCCTTATCAATACCCGCCATCTTCCCATTGCAGGCTAGACCTGGTTCTAGAGTATTGGTGAGTTACAGCAGTAATCTATCTACCTTCCAGCGCCAGCCCTTCGAGAAGCGTTCTGGTTTGAGTAACCTCGGTTCCCCATAATTTGGTTCACGCCTAGAAAAAACAATGCCCCTGTTATTTGAGGAGATGATCTCTTTGGGAACTGGCAATGTTCCGTCGCTAAGACACAGCAACTTGTTGAGCGCATGAGAAAAAAAAAAAGAAAAAAAAAACAAGCGCAAACGCCCCTCATCTGGACGCTAGAAACTCTGAACACCCCCTAACCCTGCAATCATTGGCCCACTTTCCGAGGAGAATGGTTGCTCACACGAGTAGCACTTTTCTCCCCAAAGAGAATATTAGATCCTTCCCAAAGTGTATTAATATTAGGTAAGAGTCAATCTTCTTCTCAGATTCAGATCGATCGAGTACACAATGTACTGCGGGTGCCCCATCCGCTCTGCAAGGTCAACCTCGTGTCTGTCACCGCTTACAATATCAAAATCTTTGAATCAAGAGGACGTTGGTGTGTTCCTTTTATTACAGTGAACTGTTGTGGGCAAGAGTAACGTATCGCTTGAGGGTACCTACAACTGTCCAAAGGAATATTCCTGATTGCATTTGAAACAAAGTAATTATCTACCAAACGACAACCAATCAACCTGCATTAGGCAAATGCGCTTGCGGCGCTCAAAAGTCGGCCTAGAAATGGACTGAGGAGTTGGGTTCGAAAGAAAAACAAAAGCTTGGTATCAGTGTGCCAAGACCCAACTATTAACAAGGTGAGCAAGAAGGGAAACGGAATAATCTCTCGAAAAACCAAACAACTGAAACAGGCCCATGTCCCCGAATATTTTCGAACCTTGAGATGTTGTTGAAGACAGAAAAAACACGACGCTTGCATAAAATTAAAGAAAATAATTAAAAGAAGAAAATAAGAGTTCCTTGGTGAAAAAAACCTCACAATCCTTCAGTTTGTCAAGCGGTAATCATAAGCACGCCATTTAAGGTATCACAGAGCGGTTTTAAATCGTACTGAAGTATCGGTACTTGGTTGTTTCTCATTTTACCAAGCCATCCGCCTGAAGCACGAATAAATAGCCAAAAGGTCGGGCTTACGGTATTTCACTCAAAGGTTGGGGAGGGACAGGAAGAGTAGGCGGCGGAATGCATATGAAAGTACAACAATGTGAATTAGTTGCATTGCATATGCAGACTGCCCTGAATATCCATCCATTGATATTTGCGCCGTGAATAAAAGCAATGTCCTGGAACTATCAGTTATCTGTTGCAAGTGTGTATTGGACTAGGCTTTTGTCCATTAAGATGGTACAGACGTCATAAAAACGGTCGAAAGGAATATGAAAATGGATATCTGACGCACCACTGGCTAGGTCTCAATGATTTCGTGAATGAAAGAAAATTTGAGCGTCGGAATACATTTCCACAAGTACCATATTCCTCCCAGGAGCGTATGTACATGTATGTACCTTATGTAAATATCCTAGTGATGATTTCCACCTAGAACTGATCTCACCATGTAATTCTACCGGCATGTAACGTAGCACGTGTAATCACTTCGAATTGATATATTTCTGTGGGATAAATGACTGTCACGTCAGTTCCCCCCCCATAAGGTGATTACCCCACATACTTTTCTTTTCTTTTTATTTCCAGCTGCCAGCTTTGTTTTTCTTCCCTGCATAACAAGTTGTGGGGCATTAACCTACAAATGCTGTTGATAGCCCATGGCTAGATAAACGAAGGTAGATCACTATGTCCAACGGATATTACCCCACCTGTGCCCCTCATTGTAGTGTCCTGTTCTTTAAAACTGTAAGGTCCACGGTTACTGCGTTGGTTGCATTTTCATCTGAGCCAGCCAAATTTGTCCCATCCTTGGAGGTTATGGCCGGACTTCGGCGCTCTTTCACCAATGATTCTAAATAAATCCCTCGTTCATTAAACACATAGTCGTATGTAAGATATGCAAAGAAGAAAAAATAGCAACAGCATACTAGAACCTTGCACATGTCTAAAATACGGTTCGGTAGACTAAGGGTCTTTTGAGGAGAGTGAAAGATAGCTAACGGTGAACCGATTGAAGTGTGTGTAATGGAGTTAGCGAAATGTAGAGCACGTATGCCCTTTCAAGGCTGAGATAACTGGCTGGGTGGGGCCTGAAGATGGTCTGCAGGCTCTGAAATGTAGTTATTGAGACAAACACATGTAGGTTGAGTGCTTAAGCAGGATGTAGGTACTCAGTGTTTTCTGTTGCGTTCAGAGTTTCTGTAGGTAATGAAGGTTGCAAGAGATGGTAACACGTTTTGCGGTAACGGACCACCATGCCGGCGGCACGTCCAAAAACACAACAATTTTATGTTTGAAAACACAACACTGGCTAGGTGTACCAAAGGCTGGGAACAGAAAAAGCAATGAAAAGACCCGTGTACTACATACTCTACTCATTGACAGAGTTTACACACAACCAGCGGAGGGCGTGCATGTAGGCGGTACCTGGTAAGGCTTTGATCAGTTGAATTCCCGTCCAATACTAAAGAAATATTCGTGATATCCCAGCTTAGAGTGCGTACTAACACTTAAGACCTGCATAATGTTCATTCAAATTTTGGGAACTGGTCAATTTCTTTACTTTTTCTATTATTTTTTTTTTTTTTTTTTTTAAGTGATCTCCCATGCAGGTAGGTCGAGTGATGATGTATGACGAAATCAGAAGCCGGCACATTGCGCTATCAATGAGATGCTCCCGTCCCTTCCTAGCCCGCGGCTATTGTATCTAGAGAGAGCTCCTCCAGGGTAACTTGATCAACGGATGATAATCGAGTCCTACGAAGCCACGGCAGGAAACGAATTGTAGAAACACATACACCACGAAAGATCCCTGGATAACCATCTTGCATTTGTGTCACCCGCCACCGACAGACTATGTTCCCGTCCACAAATCTCTGGATAGGTTGACGATGTTGGAATGCATGAGCCATGCCACCGGACCGAGGTGCGGAATTATACGTAAAGGAGTTTGAGAGTGCAATATGAGAGTATAAGTGTACAGGTAGTAGTTATAGAGCACTGGTTTCGGTAGGTCTGCAAGAACTGGGATAATAGCCATGTAGATCTTTAGTATTAGAAATTCCACGTGATGGATACCCGAAGGGCTCAGAAGTCTTAGGAGGTGTTGGCCCGAGCTTAGCGGTCAATGTCCAGTACAATATCGATAGATGTAAATTGACCACAAGTTTTTTAAAATCATGAGTTGTCTTGAGCTGCTTTCCGGGCGAGGCCAGACTCTTTAGATTCAACGCCGGAACCTGAGGTATCGTAGGCCCCACGACAGCTCTAT